CAGAACTGTGGCAACCACGTATTTGATACTCCAAAAGCAGAAATTCATTTCAAAACAGAACAAAAGTTCAAATACGCAACTCACTTAACAGTGAGCACTGAAAGTACTAAAATTTTTGTTTGGAATATTTACACAAATGTCACATACCAACTCCTCCAGGTTCATTTACACAAAGTGCTAAAGATTTTCGTTTCATAATGTAGACACAAAAACTACATATGAAATATGCCTATGAAATATGCTTAACAAGTGAAGAAAATCAAATTCTTATCAAATTCAGATAAAAGAGCAGCTAATGCAATTCTACCTCATTCAGGAAACATATTGATTACAATGATTTATAACGTTAATCTACAGTGGTATCAAATTATGCAAAATGATGATTTAACAAAAATTAACATGTGTTTTCAGTCGTGGATTAGTAATACACCTAAAATATATAGTTTTTATGTGCATATTTTTATACCTATTTTTAAGATATTGTACTTTAATGAAAGATATTTGTGTGTTTTTTTTCAGGTATAATCATATGGACGAAAAATAGTAAAATGAGTAAAACATGATCAAATTTGGAGCAAAAATAAACTGGGGAGCCTAAGCACCCAGGACTGACGCTTACAAACCAGTTAAACAGAGAAAGTCGCGTCTAAGCTCTAGAAGTAGTTATTTGATATCTCATTGAATTTGGAGGAATTTTTGAAGAGGTGTTTGAAGAAATCTTTAGTAAAAACATAGGAAATAGCGAACACGAAAAATTCATTCAATTGACTTTTGAAATGAGACAACTTCTAGAAAATTCATTGAATAGAGACACATTTTGAAGAGAGACCAAGGCACCGCTTAGATTTTTATAAAAGAAGACTTCGATCATCCATGGAAGAGGCCCAAGCATCATCCATCCATCCAGACCGACTAGTGCCAACCACGCCATACGCCGCCGCCGCCGCCCACATTTTCTTTTTATTTTGAGTTTTAGCTTGTATTGTGAGTGAAGAAAGAGATTCAAAAGAACTTCAAAACATTTGATGGAGAGGAATTTGAGATAAGTTTTTATCTTTCTGACTACATTTAGTTTTAATTTAATCTGGATTTTAATTTAGAATTTTTGTTCATTTGCATGATTTCTACTTTTAAACTCAAGTGTGATTGTGTTTTATCCATGAATTTTGAGTGGTTTCTTTATCTTTCTCCTTAAAATGATAAGTGATTAAGTATTGGAGGGAAGTTGTGTGAAGTATTAGACTTTAACATTGAAAGAAATTGTGGTGATTTTAAACCTTATATATCATTTACTTCTTGATTTGGTCAATTAAGATGTTAATACCTATTGTGAGAACATGTAAAATCCGAGAACATGTAAAATCCGTGAGAACATGTAAAATCCGAGATGGTATTGTCTCAGTTAACAAATGATAAGAATCACATTTGATTTCATGGATGAGAATATAATTCATGGGGTTTAGTGAAAATAAATAGGAACATAAACTTTGATGGATATAGAATTGGAGGACTTTAAAGTGACAGGCTAAAACCCCCAATTTGATTTATAATTTTAGGTTTGATAAGAGATATTAGCCCCTAGGTGGAGGGAAAAGAGAGAACTCTAGAGTGAAAGCTAGTATTTTCTTTACCTAACCCGTCTTCAAGACTATTCAAATTATAGATTAGTCAATGTTTTTTATAACATGTCTAGTAAGGGTAAAGAATATTATTGCTCATATTTGGCACAACACAATTAGAATACTTCCACAACATAATTTTTATACTAGTTACTGATTCATGATAAAAAAATATATTTTTTATTTATATTGTTTTCATCTTGCAAATTTCTAATTAAGTTAGTTGCTTATTTTATTTTCAATTATCAAAAATTACAAAAAGAAATTAAACTTTCATTCATACTATAGCATCTAGAATTTAAATAAGAATATTTTGCTAAGTAGAATTTTGTAATATAATTTCTCCTTTTTTGCAAAGCGTATATTGTAGTTACCCTGTGGGTTCGATATTCGAGACTTAATCAAAAAGTCTTATATTACTTGATAATGATAAGTATATTTGCGTAGCATCTCATATTTAAATATTATATTTGTATTTTTATTTGGTTCAAAGTTAGAAATTTACCTAGTTTTTGTTTGGGATCAAGTTTTTGGTTTTGTTGTAAAGTAAGAATTATAATTAGATAAATTAAGAATACACTCGCATACATCGCATTAGCATCTATAAAGTGAATCGGGATCAATTAGTAACTCCTTAGCAGCCTTAAAAGCACAAAGAAAAAGATTTTGGGGTTAATTCATTAAAAATAATATATTAACCCATCCTAGACTATTAGTAAAATGCAGTAAATTCAATGGAAATATCGTTCGTCTGAACAATGCATCAATTTACCACTTTGATAATTGTACCTGTTGAAAATAATCTGATCTGAGCTTCCATCAAAAGCCCAACCTAGCAAACCCACACCATCAGATTATCAGCACTGTTCATCTAACAGTGCAATATAGACAGTGGATAGTTAAATGAAAAGAAAATAATTTTGTAGTACCCAGTCATTGTCGTTTGCAAGTAGAGTAAGATATTTTGTACTCGAAGGAAGATGATGAATCTGACAAAATTCTGTAATCAGTTTTCAGTGTTGACTTGCATCCTTTTGACATAACCTGAATTTAAATCCATCACCAATACCATTGGAAAGCCAATATCCACATGTTTTGCCTTCCTCTAGTGATGGCAAACTTGCTTTTTCTAGGTGTTGCAAAACAATTAATAATGGTTGCAACATTTGTTTACCCCTAGAAACATCAACTTGAACTTCCTTATGCTTCAATGCCATGGGAACTAGTACAAAATCATCAAGTTCAAAAAACAGCAGAAACAATCCCCATATATTAACCATGCAATTTCAATAAAAACAATAGAAAAAATGGTGAAATTTTTGCCTAGGTTGTTCTCAAGAAGCCCCTTAAAAACCCTCCCAAAGCACCTCCAATCAGATTGTTCTCCCTGAAGTTCTTTGTAGCTGCAGCAACCTGTTCGAAAGTAAAACTGTAGCATCTTCATCCTGTTGAACGAGCACAATCCAGTCTCTCGCCCTGAGAGAGTTGGACAAAGTGTAGCATCTACATCCTGATCGCTCTTTCCTTTCCGGACTCCTCGTCGTCACCATCATCATCATTGCGAGATAGGGAAAGGAGAAAGTCATTGCCCTCGAGAGAGAGTCGTTGTCTCTTATGTTCTCGTCTGACATCGTCTTCTTCTTTGTCGTTGTCTCCAGCTATCGTCTTCTTTGTCGTTGTCTCCAGCTATCGTCTCCAGCTTTTCTAGGCATCTCCATCTCCATGGCTACTTCGGCAGATCCAGTCCCCAAAGACGAATCACCGCAAGAAGGGCAGGAGAGGAATTGTGAAAGGTAAAGCTCGTAGTAAAAGTGGACGACAGGAGGGATCCCGCGGCCCACGTTCCGCTGTGCGTCGGAGCCGTCACGATCAAAATGTCGTCACAAACGAAGGAGATAGCAGGGGGACGTCGTGTCGTGCGATAGAATCCGCCCCAAACAGGCCCTAAATCATCTAGATTCATCCCTATATTGAACTCTAGTAAATCTAGTTTTACTCTGAAATCTCTGTCCTTTGAATGTCATCTCCTCTATCGGCCTCCTCTGATAATGAATTTCAAAGTGTCGTGGTATGTCCTCATCACTGAAGTCCTCCCTGTGGAAGGGTTTCAAATGCTCGTTACTTCCTCCTTTACAACTCTACATATCATGATCAAGGGTAATTTTTCCCTAAGTTTCGTCATCAATCCTGACCAGTATCTGCTAAAGTAGACAAATCTCTCATTGTATCTCTTCTCGGACAGGTTTCGGTATGTGTCTCATTGGTGGCATGGTTAGTGTTTGAGTAAAAAAAGATGTTTGAAAATAAGAAAATTTTTTGAGTGGAGATGTGTGGAAAGGCTAGAAACCCTAAGATAGGATTAGGGTTATGTTATCTATAATATAAAAAGATATCGCAATTAACCTGAAACCCAATAGATGTAGTTAAGTTTATTAAGCAAAGCAAAACAGAATTACAATCAACAACCTTGAAATAGGAAAATCACGACACAAACACAAATACCTTGTTAGGGTGAGGTGGGAAGGTGGCAGTGGCTAGGAAAATAGTGGTTGAAGGGCTATCTAGTTGTCGGACAGCCGATTGAGTAGTGACGAGGGGCTTAGGAAGGGTGACTGCAGGGTAGGGGTGGTGTAGGAGGTGGTGATAGCAAGTAGAGATGGTGTAGAAAGGGAAGGCGCAACAACAAGGAATAGGTGGGGAAGGGGGGCAGCAGCAGCAGCAAGGGATGATGCAAGAAGTGGCAGCAACAAGTAAAAGGGGTGCATGGAGAGCAGTAGAGAGCAGGCAAGGAGAATAGGAATGGAAATATGCGGAGATAGTCACCATTTTGAAGCAGGATATAGTCGGTGCACCAACTATCCTTAGATACAGCTCTAGCAAAAGAAAAGGCACCGACAGCAAAAAATGAAACAAAGAACTGGCCTAAAACATAACAAATTATGTGTGTGTGTGTATATATATATATAGTCTTAGAGTAAAGAAGAGTGGGCCCCGCTCCAAATAGGAGGGAACCATGAGCAATGAAGGACCGCTCGTTCCTTCTCGCACCAGGACCAAGCCAGTCAGCATGCGGCACTTTCCAAGCCCGCGGGCGTAGGCACCCCTCCATTGAGCATAGGAAGCCCGCCGTGCATCATAAACATTCTCTTAGTGCCAACACATCTAGATTTTTTTTGGCTGCTGACTTGGAATCATAGCATTTTACAATTTAAAATAAATATATATGGGCATATGATAGTTTCAAATATGCCTGAAATCAAATCAATATTAAGGCATACTGCAGCCATATAGTGCAACAAGTGGCACCTCCTGGTTCCATAATCAAAATAAACAGGAGTGGTGGGGAGGAGGAAAAGAGTCGAGGATATGAGCGAGGATTACCGGACTGTGCTAATGGAATAATCGATCTTAGATCGATATCAGCAGCCTCCTTGGGGTCGAACAGCACCGAGGGTCGAGTTATGGGCCTACGGATTGGGTCCTCTTTCCCCTTAATGACGGACTTGATCACCTGAAGCTGCGATGCAATCGACATGTATGCCTGAGAAATCAAACAAAAGGGAAGGAGGCGAGAGACGACTTTAGGAGCTGTCTGGCAGCGGGATATAACTTCAATCCTGTCAAACGGAAAAATTTGCAAACTTAGGGGCTGTCAAATGACGGATTTTAGACCAGGAGTTACCTGGATTTAGGCTAAATCTTGCCAGATGGTCAGTTTGGACAAAACAAAGCCGCTCATTTGATAAATCCGGATTTCACGGCGGATTTCACGGCGGATTTCACGGCGGATTTCGGCCGTAAATCCCGGATTTATTAAATCCTGCTGTTCGGCGGATTTAGCCGGCTTTACTAAATCCGGGAAGAGCGCAGCCAAAGAATGGCGCAAACAGGGTTACCTTTCTCAATGGTTTCTGGTAGGAGCAGAGCGGCAGGATGAGAAAGATGGGGGTTTCTGTAGCCTTTGTACACCGCGATCCCGCCGTTGCCTTCCCAGCTAGCTTTAATGCGGACTGTATCGCTGGGGCTCGTTCACAAATACGATTGTTTTGGGCTAAACACTAAGAGGGGGAGGGACGGAGAGGGTTTCAGGTAGCGAAAGAAGGAACCGGGAGAGCGAGGGTGATGGAGGCGAGGGTTTTGTCTGTGGAGGGAAGGGCTGAGTTGTTAATTTAATTTTAGATTAATTTTATTACATAAATTGATTAATGATTTAAATTTTAATTATTTTTTATTAAACCAATGGAAATTTTATTTAAATAAAAAATACAGTAAAATATAAGAGTAACTTATTACACACCCCAAATAACTCACTCAATAAAAAAACAAACCAAAGGCTCATCTCCCTCAAAAAAGAAAATACAACTCACTCTAATTTGAACTTAATGAAAAATAAAATCCAATAAACAGATTAAAGCAATCATCATACACAAGATATTTAAAAACCACAGACACAATCTTAGAAATAACAACATATGAAAGAAATCTCCCTAGCTTAGCTGCCCAATTAGCAACTTTATTTCTATCTCTTCTTGTATAAGTCCAGCACATGCTCATTCCTTTGGTCAAATTCACAATCTTCTTCATTTTTATATTTATACTCAAATGATAGTCTTCCTACAACTTGCAATTCTTCCACATTAATAAAGAGTGTTTCTAAATTATGTTTCTATATTGATAAAATTCCATCCGTATTTTTTTGTTATCAATAAACAAAACATCACTGCATCTGCTTCTGCCACTAAAGGAGATACATGAATGGTCGAAGACGCAAACCAACGGATAACATATCCTAAAAAATCTCTCCAAACACCTCCGCCGCCAACTTTATTATTTTTTCAATTGTCGTCAATATTAATGTTAATATTTGGTGCATACCACTTGGACCAAGAAACAGAATTGTTTCATTTAACCAAAGGATTAAGATCAACCTTGAATTTAACATAAATCTCATCTTATCTATTTTTTTTTCTCTTATTACTATTAAATGTAAGACTATTAGAAAGAAAACTTTTAATCATATTAAAAGTATGTTTAACATTAGTTTTCTTTTTATGAAATTTAATGTTGTTTTAAGTAAACCAAATAAACCAAAAGATAACAGGGGATATTAGTGAAAAAACATGTCCTAGGACTTCCAGTCTTCATAAATATCCATAATATCAGTATAATTACCCAATTCCAACTTCTATTAAAAAAACTAATTATTTTCTGCCAAAAATGCACACAAACCTGCACTCAATAAGTAGATGGTTAATAGTTTCCACATTCTCTCTACACAGTAAACAATGTGAAGGAATTCTAAAACCTTTAAATTTAAGTATATCATCCCTAGGTAAAATATCATGGAGGAGCCCCCAAATAAAGAAAGGTTGAGAAGATTTCACCCAAGTATTCCAATTCCATTTGAGGTCCATAACCTGAAAAGATTGAAAAGAATTATCAAAAGTTTTAGTAATAGCATCACCAATATTATCTTTAATCATAGGAATATCCATTTTCCCATGATTCACAGGAATACTTGAGATGAATTTTAAATCTTCATGTCTAAGTAACTCCTTTAACAAATTCTTGTTCCAGCCATTATCATTCCAAATGTCTCTAACATTTACATTAATATATTGTGGACCACCATAGCAATCTGCAAGATTACCATTCTCTAACCAATCATCATACCATAATGAGCATCTACATTGCCAATGTCCCAAATAATAAGATTTCTAATTACTTTAGCAACCTTGAGCATACTTTTAAAGATATAAGAATCAAATTTAGATTGAGTAGCCGCAAGAGGATGTTTGTCATTTCAATATTTCACATACAAGAGGGAAGCCCAAATAGAATTCTTCTGCCTAAATCTATGTCATAGTTTCATATGATTAATAAGAATGGTATCAAATATTTCGATTGAATGTTATACTTTCCATTACCATCTCAAAGAAATTTATTAAATAAGTTCTCCAGTTTATTAGCAAAGCTCAATGGTATGTTCATGAATTGCATAACATAAAGGGTAAAGATGTAAGAAGACTCTTAAAAATAGTAATTATTCTTCCAAATGAGAGGAACTTATTTTTCCAAACAAGCATTTTATTCTTTATTTTATCAAATAAACTTGAGAGAAGAGCATTTCTTATGTTATTCTTGTCTAAAGTAAAGCCTAAATAAACTAAAGGCATAATAGCTTTATTGTAATAAGTATAATACACCATCCAATTCTTTTTAGTAGCTGAAACATGTTTGGAACAATAAATATGAAATTTAGAAGTACTGAAGAAACATACCTAAGGTATCTTGAAAAAGACTAACTTCTTTCCAAACTCTCTTAATGGACATTTTATTAGCACCGGTAAAAATAATTAAGTCATCGGCAAAGCAAAAATGAGAAATACCAACCACACCTTTATGAAAATAGTACATGCTAGGGTATTTAGCAAACAAATTATTGATACACTTATATAAGTAATTAAAAGCAATAATGAAAAGATAAGGTGATAATGGATCACCTTTCTTAATACCTCTAGTGGTCTTAAAAAAACCACAAGCTTTACCATTAATCAAAATAGAGTAAAAATTGATATCAAGTAGCCTACAAATTATTTTGCAAAAATATTCTTGAAACCCCATAGCATGAAGAACATCTAAAATAAACTCCCATGTAATAGTATCAAAAGTTTTTGTTATATCCATCTTAAAAATCACATTCTTATCATTACCTTTTTTATCAAGCCTAAAATCATTTCTTGAACAGTTAAAGCATTGCCACAAATATTTCTCCTCTTAAAGAAAGCATATTGATTCAAACTAATAAGCTCATGAAGCAAAGGTTGAATTCTATTAACTAATATCTTAGAGATTATTTTAGACACTACTGCATTTAGACTAATAGGTATAAAATTATCCCAAGATGTAGCGTTATTTTCTTTAAGGATAAAAACAATATTGGAAGTTAAAAATAATTAGGTAGATCAATTCCACTGGAGATAGTATCCACCAGTTCATGGTGAATAACATCCCAATTCTGTTTGTAGAATTTCACAGTGAAACCATCTGGGTTAGCAACCTTACCTTCCTCCATACTGTTAATGATTTTTTTGATTTCATCTTTAAAAGGAGTATAAGTAAGATTCCTACAATAAATCTCATTATAATTAGCAAAATTCTCAATTTTTAATTTAGAAATAATATTACCATCACCATTAAAAAGATTCGTGAAAAAGTTGATTCCATCCTCTTCAATTTCCAAAGGAGTTGAAAGCACTTTCCCATCAGATTTAATGATTTTAGTAATAAAATTACCATTCCTTGTACTCCTAATATGAGCATTATAGTAAGCTGAATTTCTATCCCCATCTAAAAATTTCAGCTTAGCAGCTTTTTGTGCATCCGGATTTTCTTCCATAGCAAGGATACTATTTAATTCTTGTTGCCCTTATAATAAAATATCCCATCATATGTTTCAATTGTTGAAATCCAACTCCAAATCTTTCACTCACTCTTCTACCTTAACAACTTTCTTGTGAATATTGTCAAATACATCCCAATTCTAGTGCTTAAGCTTGAGAGCTAGATTTTTATGTAAAAGCCAAAGCTTAAGACCAGAATTCCCCTTATCATTACAATTCCAATTATCTTTGATAAACTATAAGTAAGAAGTGTGCATAACCCACATATTAAAAAATTTGAAACAATAATTGATATTAGTAATACTCTCCTTTACTCTCAATAAAAGAGCAGCATGATCTGACACGATAATAGCAAGGTGACAAATATCATGCAAAAAAAAAATTATTAGCCCAATTAGCATTGGAAAGAAATCTATCTAATCTTTCAAACAGTTGCCCTCTACTTCAAGTAAATGGGTTACCATTAAACCCCAAATAAAAAAGATTAGCATAAAAAATGACATTATTGAAATAAAAAATGAGATTCAAATTAGGAGGATTTCCCCTTGTTTCTTGCTTGGTGAAGTAATGAGATTAAAATCTTCACCCACTAACCAAGGTTCAGAAATAATATTGATGGAATGCATAGGATTCCACAATTTAAATCTTTTTGCCTTGTACATCCAACATAATTGATTGATAACATAAATTGATCGTTATTGATATGAACTTTAATATGAAGGAGATGCTCATGATTGACAAGTACATCAATCTTCACAAAATCTTTCCATAAAAACCACATTTTATTATTAAAATTAGTAAAAAGATTAAAATTACCAATTCTATTAAGATATTTATCATTATTCTTAGAATCCATAAGTGGTTCAAGAATATTAACAAAATTAAGTATATGAGAATGAATCGAACTTTTGAGTCTGTTAGCAGCATCATTTTAGCATTGCCCCTAACATTCCAAAATAGAAAATCAAACATCATCAAGAAAATCTTTCATTCCTCTAGTAATTTTAGAGGTAGATGTAAAATCCTCTTTTTTCCATATCTTCTCCCACCTGACAATGTATAAGGGCATCATGATTAGCATAACTTTAGTTTCTAAGACCTTTATCTTTCCTTTTCTAGTAGTTTTTGAATTAATGCATTCTTCCTCAACTTATGATCTAGTAACCAAACATTCATCCACAATGGGATCAATATTGGTTAACAAATTATTATCCTCCACAATAGGAACATGACTGGCAATCAAAGAACTACAATTGGTAGTTTGAATAATATTCTTTCTGATAATAATATTCATCTTATTATTATTAGAAACAATATTATCCACACTGATATTATTACTAGTTTCCTTTACAATAGAGATCACATTATTATTTATATCATTATCTTTCAAAGGATGTAAAATGCCATTATTCCTCAACTCAAAATTGGTGATGATGGATGCATCTGGCTGCATTTCCTTATCACTCTCTAGAGAATTAAGATTGGCTCCAATGAACTCCACATTTTCCAAATCTTTATGTTGAAGATCCAAAGTTTGATCCTTTTGATCTTCAATCCTCAAGATCTTTCTATGATGAGTAGTAGTTTTTAAATTAGGATGAGGAATAAAGCAATTTGACCAACAATGCCAAAACATACGACAATGATTGCAGTAGGGTGGAACATATTCCATCTCCACACTCTGCCAATAGAAAGAATTCGAGTCTCCAATCCAGACATAATCACTAAAAGGAAGAGTAACATCTATT